GGCCCGAAGCCCGGCCCGGCCTGAGGTATGGCCAGGTCTAGATGGCGATAAACGCGGTAACCGCTAGGGATCATGAAATTTCGAACGGTACCCAAAACAGTGGTTGCTATACAAGCAATGGCATTAAATTGTGTTAGGGCGTTCTCGGAACCATTTGCAGCGCCGAGGCTTAATTGCTGGAGGAGGCCCTTATCCGGACAACTGGCACTCAATGTTGATGCCACATACTCGGACGATGATCACGCGGGGGCTTATTGAGCAATTGTCAGAGATTGCCATGGCACTTTTGTTGTCACACAGATTGCAAAGCTTGGGCATGTGGCCGATATTGTATTGACGAGGAGCATGAAACAAGCGCGTGCCTAAAGAATAGGAAAGCTCCACCCATGTCGCTGCCCCACGCGACACCGGGGGCGACCCTCCTCCTCTCGAAGCTCACTCCTCCGCCTCTTCGCTCGCCGCCGCTGCCGCTGGCCCCCCTGCTGCCGAAGGTGCCAGGGGAGGTCCGGTCTGATGGTGGCGCTCGGAGTCGTCGGGTGCTTCTGGGGTGGTGGCCGGCGGCTCGCCGGCGTGGGATGCCGGGGCGGCGGCCCCGGGAGGTGGTGGCCGCGATCTGTTGCGCGCCGGTGGTGGCTGGTGGGAGCGGGCCTTGGGCGGCGCAGCGGTGGATGCGTCGTTCGCGCGGCGTGCTGGATCTCGATCCATTTTTTGCGGGCGGGCGCCTCTGGTGCATGGCTGCGCGGGTCCTCGTGCGGGGTGGCGGCGCCAGGTCGTCGCCGCTTCGCTCGCTCGGAGCTTGGGGTGCGTGAAGGAAGTCGGGGCGGCGGCCCCGGGCTGAGGGGCACGGCGGTTTGGCCGTGGTGGTGGCTGGATTTGGCTCTGCCATCAGATCCCCGTCCAGTGGTAGCCCCAGCATGTGCGCTGGCACGTCGCTGGCGGCATGAGGTGCTATTGTGGCTTCCGGCGCGGTTGAGCGGTGCGGCGGCAGCTGCACCATGAGGTGGAGCCAGTGGACATCGACAATGGGGATTGTGTGTTGTGCAGTGCTTCGGATCTGCTCGGATTCGGAGGTGTGGAGGAGCTTCGGGCGAAAGTCCAGCACTGACTTTGGGTCGGTGCCGGCAACGGCGGCGCCATGGCGTCGTTCCCCTTCTTGAAGGCGTTGCCGTGGAGCTCCATTACACGACTCTCCGGGAGAAATCCCTAGCTTCGGATGGTCGAAGCGGGCGATGACGGCGGCTACATCGTTTCCTTCTTTGAGGCATCACCTTGGAGAATCAACATACTGCAGTTTGCACGGATCTCTTCATCGTCAGGGACAGTGGACGTCGGAGCGGCGGCTCCGGGTGGTTTCTGATTGTGCGCCGAGATGGTGATCTCGGGAACAATGTGAGTGGCAGCTCTATGTGGTGGGGCTCTATCTCGACATTGGTTGGGTGGCATCCTTGTCCCGCTTGGGCGGTAGGGGTGTCGGCTCGGTCGATGCGCCCCAGAGGGGGCGATCTGACTTTACGTCGGGGCGGCGGCCACGGATGTGGTGCGACGTTCGTGCTCTGCGAGCGGTTGCCCTGAGCAGCGTGGGCTGCGGGCAGCTGGGTTGTGCGGCGCTGCTGCTCTGGGGGAGCGGTGGTATGTCGGGGGCAGCGGTCCCGGAAGGCGGTGCCGGTTGATTGCGCTGGGCGCGACGGAGCGGTGGATGTCGGGGCGGCGGCCCCGAGAGAATCACTGTGGCGACCAGACTTCTATGACAACGATGATGGCGGGAGCGATGTCGGCAGCGCGGCAATGGTTGTGGCAGTCGGCTCTTCTCCGGCGTGTTCACGGTATTGCCTCGGTTTGTTTGTTGCTGTGGAGTCGAAGCTGCGGTGGCAGGGCCCTGTGGTGTACGATGACTGGCTGCAGGTGGTCCGTTCGGCGATCTTCCGTGGCGCCAGCCGTGCCTGGTTTTGTTCTTCTGAGTTCTCCGTCAGAGTCGGAGCTGCGTTGTCTGGTCGTAGGTCGACATGTCGTCGAATAGGGTTGGCTTTGCCCTGTGTGTTTCAATCTTTGGGTGTGGGCTTGGCCTTTGTTGTTCCGGTTTTCGTCCAGTTTTTTGTAATTAACTGGACAATTTTCTTCTGCTTAATTAATAGATGAGGTAATCTTTGCCTCCGTTTCAAAAAAAAAATTCTATTGATGAAAGCTGTGACTCTTGCTGACGAATGGAAACTAGCTTTAAGACTTGGATGCAATTCAGTCTACATCCAAATGGACAATCTGATCGTTGTAGAATCATTGATTCAAACTCTGGACACGAAATGATTGATGCAGCGATTCTGGAGGAATCTCGAAGGTTACTGAATGATTTCGGAAAAGTTCTTATTGAACATTGTAATACATAATCAAACATGGTTGCTCACTTTTTAGCTCAACAGGGGTGCGCTGATCCACCATGTGTGTGGTTGAACTCGCCCCCTGATTTTATCGCTGGACTTTTAGCAAACGATATAAGTGTCATCTAAGTTACTAAATCTAGCCATGAAAGCCTTTACATCCATTGATCCATTCCATCATATCCTTAGCAAGGCCATTGCCCAAGGGCATCTCCATCCTCTATATGGTACAACCCCAACCGTTCCAGCTTCGCTTTACGCTGATGCTACTACCATCTTTGTCAAACCAATTAAGGAGGATGTACAATTCCTGTCTGCCACGCTGGTTTCATTTGGAGAGGTGACCGGCCTTGTCACCAACTGTGCTAAAAGTCTTGTTACCCCTATTCGATGTGATGGTGTAAATCTAGACGACATTCTTCATGCTTTTCCGGCGGTCCGTTCGTTGTTTCCGATGCGTTATTTTGGCCTTCCTCTATCTGTCAAGCGTCTCAAGAGAATCCATTTCCAGCATCTTGAAGATAAGATCGCGGGCAAGCTCCCTTCTTGGCAAGGGAGACATGTGGCTGCTGCAGGCCGAACGGTTCTTGTCAAGGCTGTCCTAACGGCCATCGCAATATATCATCTCACTCCCCTTGACATACCGGTGGAGGTCCTTCAGAAAATCGATAGCATTCGCTGTGCATATCTTTGGGCGGGCACGGACAAGGTTTTCGGAGGGAAATGCAAGGTAAACTGGGACCTCGTTTGCAAACCAAAGAACAAGGGCGGCTTGGGAGTGCTCAATCTGAACAATTTTGCTAGGGCCTTGAGACTTCAGTGGTTATGGTTTGAGTGGAAAGATAAGAGCAAGCCATGGATTAGTATGGGAGTGTCGTGCACGGATGACGACCGTCATTTCTTTGCGGCGGCCACTACAGTCACTGTTGGAAATGGAAGGAATACAAGGTTCTGGAATTCATCTTGGCTAGGAGGATTGTGCCCTTGTGACATTGCTCCCGGTCTCTATGACCTCTCTCGCAAGAAAAACTCCTCGATTCAGCAAGTTATGACCAACAATCAATGGATTGTGAATATTGACAGCTCCAATGGCCTCTCCCTTGAACACATCTAACAACTTGCTAACCTTTGGGACAAACTAGCAACGGTGGCCCTCGATGACGACGTTGAAGACTCAATTATATGGAAGTTCACCAAAGATGGGATATATTCTGCATCCTCGGCTTACAAGGCTCAATTTGAAGGCCTCACCACCTCGGACCTTGTCCATTTAGTGTGGACGAAGTGGGCGCCCTCCCGATGCAAGTTTTTTGCTTGGCTCATTCTTCAAGATAGGATTTGAACTTCGAACCGCTTGAGCCGCCGTGGTTGGCCTAATTGCGGTCTATGCCCTCTTTGCAAGCAAACCCAAGAAACCGCGGCTCATCTGCTCTTCCAGTGCCGCTACACCATGCGCATTTGGAATGACGTCCTCATATGGCTCCGCATGCATCACATCACCACGTCTACTTGGCTGACAAGGGCTTCGGTCAGAGAATGGTGGAATGCTAACCTGCAGATCCATCTCGGCTCGCCCAAGGCGCTCGCCTCCCTCATGATGCTCATCTCTTGGGAGGTTTGGTCGGAGCGCAATGCTAGAGTCTTTCGTAACTCAGCGGCCCCTTCCATGACCATCATTGACAAAATCAAGCAGGAGATATCGCTTTGGGCTATGGCTGGAGCGAAACATTTGGGTGTTGTAATGCCGCGAGAGTAGTCCTTTTATTTGCCGCTTTCGATTTCTGTCTAAAACTTCCTCCCTTAATCAATGAAATGGCAAGTCTTTTGCCTTGTTTAAAAAAAAGCCTTTCCATCCTAAAAAAAAAACTTACCAATGTCGAAATGTGTATGATTGTACTTGACCAAGAAAGATAAAACAATTTGTCCTTGTGATTTCCTTGATTACACGAGAAGGAATCATTGAATGATAATGTCCATGCGTGCACGTACAGAGCCTCGAATTATGCAAGGGGATAGATAAATCGAAGGTCCAGATTTAAAAATCGCACGCCAACTGAAAATCCTGCAGGAACCGTGATGGATCACATGGGGTTCAGTAACCAACAGCTCGAAACAGCTCGAGCTAACTAAAAGAAAGAAAATTATGTACGATCGAAGCAAATGTATATCATCGTAAATACTAGGCTCTAACCAACGACACTCGTGAGAAATGCCACGAGAATCGAACTGTTGCTACTACTGGATTTAATTTCCTCTGGGAATCGGACTGTTTCATCAAAGTCTATGGTTCCGGTAAACAACCACTGGAGAAATTCTACTCGTAGTTGATTCAGTAATCGCACAAGATGGAGCAGTAGCAAAAGTCAGAAGTTCAGAACCCCCTCGTGAATTCATCATGGCTGAAGCAGAGCAAGAAAGGCCTTGGACTCTCAACTGAACCGTGCACCTCTCAAAATTGCTTCCGCATCTCAACCAGCGCTACACCGAAATTATTTACACCACCACGCCCGTGTTCTCGACGTCTGCGCTGCCTGCGCAGGCACCCCGTTCGCTCGTTACGGAACCGCAATCTACCATGGAGCAAGTCGACTACCACATCCACATGACCGGCCACGTAAGCTATACAAGTCAGAACACCGACGAGAAGTCCGACGACGACGACGACGACGAGGAGCCCGACTCTGGAGGCGGCGGCGGCGGCGGCTGGTGGAGCTTCTTGAAGTAATCCCTCACGTCGAAGCCCTGGTCTTCGACTGTGTTGTCCTCCGCTGGCGGCGGGATGTAGGGCGGGCGGGTCACCTCCGCGAGCATGTCCCACGCCATCCCGGCGAAGAACGGGTGCGCCCGGATCTCGTCGGCGCCGCTGGCGTACCCGAGCCGCCTCGCGGGATCCCGCTGCAGCAGCCGCGAGATGAGGTCGGTCAGCTCTGGCATCCGGCGCTGGGTGTCGCCCGGGAACTCGACCTCCTTGTGCAGCACGTTCCGGAACGTCTCCTTGCGGTTCTTGCCCTTGAACGGCGTGCGGCCGAACGCCATCTCGTAGACGAGCACGCCTACGGCCCACCAGTCCACGGCGAACCCGTGGCCGTCGCCGCTCACCACCTCTGGCGCCACGTACTCCTCCGTGCCGACGAACGAGTACGACCTGCCCCACGCCGCGCCGAGGCATGCGGCCTTCCGGCTCACGGGGGACACGCGCGCTGACTTGGTCTTCTTGGCCAGCTCGGGGGCGGCGCCGTTGCTTCGCAGCAGGAAACGAACCAGGTTCTGAAACTGCTGCAGCTTCGGCGTCGACGCGGCCGCAGACGAAGACTCGCGCTTGGCGTGGTGGCCAGCAGCGGAGGCGCGCGCCCGGCGGTGACCGTGGTGGAAGACGGGCTTCACCTGAGGAGGAGGCGACGTTGACGGGGAGGAGGTAGAAGCCGGGAGGAGGCGCGAGAGGTCGAAGTCGGTAAGGGTAACATGGCCGTCGGCTCGGAGGAGCACGTTCTCGGGCTTGAGGTCGCGGTACACGATGCCGGAGGCGTGGAGGTCGGCGAGCGCGGACACAGTCTCGGCGATGTAGAAGCGTATGGCGGCCGGAGAAAAGACACGGTCAGCTAGGGAGTAGCGGAGCTCGTTCAGGTCACCGCCGGGGCAGTAGGGGACGGCCCAGGCGAGGAGGTCGGGCGTCTCAGCGCTGCCGAGGAGGGACGGGAGGTACGGGTGCGCGAGGCGGGAGAGCAGGGTCACCTCCCACCGTGCGCGGCGGTCGGCGTCGGGCTTGGTCGGCCCGGCGGAGCGCTTGTCGAAGACCTTGAGGGCGTAGCGGCCGCAGCCGGGCCGCGCCGGGTCGGCCTCGACGAGGAAGACGGTGCCCATGGCGCCTCGGCCGAGAACGCGCAGAGCGCGTGCACGGTCGAGGTCGACCTCCATGGGCATGAGCCGGCACGGGCGGGGGCGCGCGCGTGTTTGTACGCCGGGGAGGGAGGGAGGAGTTTGGGCTCTCCCAAGAATAGGGGCGCGCGCGTGGAATGGTGAGAGAGGCGAGGAGGGTCTGGAGGCGAGATATAAGAGCGCTGCGTAGCGGCAAGAGAGAGATGGGAGGGCGAGATATAAGAGCGCGGCGCTCTCTTCTATTTATTTCTTTATAAAAAGTGTTAATTGTTTTAGTTTTTTTAAGACGCTAAGGACGCAGATGCTCATACATACGCTCACCCCTATAACGCACGGGTGCACACATTATCCCTGTC